GAAATGGGCCAATTGGGTAAGCATGGCATCAGACTTTATGGACCGGTCAGGTTCAATACAGAGAATGCACCAGATGTCTTCTATATCTAGAACCTAAAGAAGAAGCCAACTGAGACTTTCCGCGAGTATGCTACTCGGTGGACGTCGGAAGCAACCAAGGTCAGACCAGCATTAGACAAAGAACAGATGAACAAGTTCTTTGTCAGGGCATATGACCCACAGTATTATGAAAGGTTAATTGTCATTGAGAATCACAAGTTCTCCGATATCATCAAACTCGGAGAAAGGATTGAAGAGGGTATCAAAAGCGGGATGGTGACAAATTTCGAGGCACTGCAGGCCATGAACAAAGCATTACAATCAGGGGCATATCAAAGAAGAAAGAAGTAGGGGCAGTGATGGTGGCCCAAGGTCCAAAATCTCCACTTACATACCAAACGCCTCCACCTACATACCAACCCTCACCTCCTAGATACTCCCAACCCGCCACCGCCTATCACACTTATAACACCCAGCCAGCCTACTATCATTCTCCTCCAACTCATACAAATTACCAAAAATCCCAACCTAATTTGGATTGCAAACCACCCAGATAATACACTGATTGCTAAAACCCATCGACCAGCTGTACGAAAGATTGAAGGCTGCTGGTTATGTCACCCCTATTCTTGCTGTAACAATAGAGAATTCATCTCAATGGGTCAACCCAAACAAAACCTGTGCATATCATTCCGGTATGAAGGGGCACACCATTGATGAGTGCCGAACATTAAAAGATAAGATCCAGACGTTGATTGACAACAAGGTCATACAGGCGAAGGAAGTTACGCCCAACGTCCGCAACAATCCTCTCCCGGATTATAGGGGTGATGGGGTACATGTGATAGAGACGGATGAGGAATGGGATCCTGAGGGGTCAATCAGGCTTATCGGGAAGGCGATGACTTTAAACCCACTGTCACACTCACTCCTATTGTGATACAGATACAACCATCAGTCGAAGTTGAGGTAACCGCATCGATTCCATTTGAGGTAGAGGTAGCTCCACCTGCAGCCACACCTATTCCATTTGAGGTAGAAGTGGCCACACCTTTCACAGTGACAGTAGCAACCACACCTCCTTTCAATTCCAACGCCATACCTTGGGATTACGTTGCCGAAGCTAGGCGAAAGAAAAAAGCAAAAATGGATGAATCTGATGCTGCACAGGGAATGACCAGAATCGGAAGGATCTATACACCCGAACATTTGGGAGGATCAAGCAAGGAGGCTGCTACTAAACAACCTATCATTGAAATTGGGCCGAACGATCTTTGGAGCAAAGTACATGCGAGGGAATACTCTATCGTCGATCATTTAAATAAGACCCCCGCCCAGATATCCATCTTGTCACCCAAGAAGAAGGCCAGAATTGGCCAAGGAGCCAGTGCCACCCCAGGAGTGGCCGATGATTCACTACTTGATACTGCGGGTGAGGATAATCGCCCTGATATCACCCTGCCTGATTATTCTAGTCCGGAGTAGACTACATCAGTTCCTGCACCTACCGGGGGTACCACAATCCCTCCCATTGATACTCCTGTCCCGCCTCCATCCCCAGCTTCCGGTTTTGGTATTTCTGATGGGGATCTTATGGGGAGCTATTCAGATGCGGACTCAGCTAGTGGCCTCTCAGGCCCAGAGGTCAGGTGTTGCACCCAATTTATTTAGCCAGCAAGGGGATTCCACCAGCTCCAGGGTGAACAGATTTCTTTAGTTAGACCCTCCAGTGTTTACGGGTGCCAATCTGGAAGAAGACCCTCAGGATTTTATTGATGAGATGCACAAGACCCTCAGGGTTATGCGTGCAATTGAGACAGAGGGAGTAGAGTTAGCTGCCTACCATCTGAAAGGGGTGGCCTATTCGTGGTTTGAGTTGTGGGAAGATTCCCGTGAGGAGGGGAGCTCTCCGGCGAGGTGGAGCGAGTTTGCCGATGCATTTATAGATCACTTCCTGCCTACCGAGACAAGGGCAACCCGTGCAGCAGAGTTTGAGAATCTGAAGCAAGGTAGTAGAAGTGTGTGGGAGTACCATATGGAGTTTGCCCGCCTGTCCAAATATGCTATTCACATGTTGCCCACAATGGAGGCTAGGGTGTGCCGGTTTGTTGAGGGCCTTAATCCTATGACTATTAATGAGGCATCTACAACTGCCTTAAATTCTGACATGAATTATGGGAAGATTTTGGCGTTTGCTCAGGCCACAGAGAACCGCAAACTGAAGAACAGAATGGAGAGAGGGTAGCAGAAAGACCCGGTCTACGGGCAACATGGGTGAGTCACTAGGCGGGGGAAAATCAGCTTTTCGGGGAGGATCGTCAGGACCGTCCCAGTCTGTTGCACAGTCTTCAGCCAGTGCACCGCCATCAGGGCCCAGCCACACTACTGGAAAATAAACTTATGGCAACGCATAGAAAACCGTTGCGGTACATAAGAAAACCGTTGCCATAGAATTATTGCAACGTTTTTGCGTCCGTCTAACTAGGTCACGTTGCAGTAGCTCTACTGCAACGGTTCCGAAAACCGTTGCCCTATAGCAATCTATTGCAACGGTTATTTATCATTCTACTGCGACGAGTATTTTCAGTCAACTAGAACGGTTCAAAGGCGTTGCAATATATGTTTGTGTAACGGTTATTTTTTCTATTTCAACGGTTAAGTTAGGATATTACAACGATTTTTTGCCGCTTTTGCAACAGTTTAATTACTATTGCTACGGGTTGTTTACAGTAACAACAATCTAATAGGTTCTAATGCAACGGTGTGCATTATCTATTGCAACGGTTTATAGTACCTATGGCAATGGTTTAGTTTACCTACTGCAACGGTTACCTGTCATATTGCAACAGTTTATATGGTTAATTGAGACAGGTTTTGTTACCTATAGCAACGGTTGAGGTAAGCTATTGTAAAGGTTTAATTGAACCAAAAATATACTCCCTGATATTAAATAAATATTTGCATTAAATTATAATACATAATAGTTTATATAAATCACAAAATAAAACTAATCATAAACATTTACAATCCAAGTTGTAATATCCGTAAAAGCAAAATATTAGAACCCATGTACATAAGTTTAATAATCCAAAAGTTAAGAACCAAGTACATAAGTTTTACAATCCAAAAGTTAAAGAAGTTTCAAAATGTTTGATAACAAAAGATTCCTAGAACATTTAGAGTTTCAGCAACAATCCAAAAATCTTCTTAAGCAGGATCTTCATTCCTTTGATCTTCCCTTTCTTCATTTTCTCCACCTACAAAAGAGGATAAATAAAATCATTATCTATTTAAATGCTAGTTAACAATTCAAATACAAATGAAAGGTCAAGTCTTTTAAAGGATTTAAGAATACCAGACACACAATATAAACTAAAAGTGAACTTTTTGATTTGTGCATTTGTTCATGAGCAGAAATTATTTTTTATCCGTAGATAATGCTTCAATAGTTCCATCTCTGTAACACTGTCTCCACCATGAATTACGAGATATAGCTGAATTGGATCCTATTTTGAAGAACAAATAGGCAGTGAAGTCCTAGAGCAAATTTATAATATGTTAACAGCCACTAATTCCTGGTTTTGCATACAAATATAAAATCCTAACTCAACGATTTCTAATCAAGATGATGATACCAACACAAATAACAAACAACATGTCAAATCCCTATGTAACATGATATCTAAACTTGTCTTCACTGTTTGACATGAAGCTAGCGAAAAGAGAACACAACATCTCGATATAAGCACATAAGCACATAAACATGATAATCAATTAGGTCCTGTGAACTAAGTGTAATTAGACCTATAAAGAAAAGCTAATTGCCTATCGACAATTGATAAACAACTGGATCCCAAAAATGGAGAAATAAGAAGCCTAAGTCAACTATATAGGAAGGATGGAAGGACTCCTTCCATGTACAAAAGGTCCTACATATACAATGTAAGTTGACTCTCCCAATGAAATAGGACAAAAAACAAGTATATAAATATCCAAAGGGAACAGTCCTATGTAGCATGAGTATCAGCTATATCACCATACTCAGGTTCTGCTAATAAATGTTCCACTCCTATGGCATCCTCCTCTGATGCAAAATAATCAGAGGCCCCGCCTACGACCCAAAGAAACATACAAATTTAAACAAAATGAATAAAAAAGATTATTGATCAGAATGTGCAGCATATTCTTGAACAGCCGAATGAAGTGAAATCTATACTAGTTACCTCTCCATTTCTATAAAGGACGCTGGACATCGCACGTGTAGTGAAATTTTCAACAACTACCTAAAAGACCAATTATGAACTACCAAATGCAAGATAAGTGTCGAAATGTTGAATTTACATGAAAATACATTAACTTTCTATCGTTACCCATTTTGGTTTAGTTTACCATGAAGTATACTTAGAAGGAGTAGAACTAATCAAATGGAGATAATTTGCTTTCTCGCTCTGTTATGCATAGTAGACTAGCAGAGTTAGACTAAGATCTAAATGTCCAATTCTAGCAAATGAATTCACATGCCGAATTGCTGATTCTACATGTCACTCTCGTTGTAAACTTGTTGCATCTACATATTGGAAAATCTTTCCACATAATCAAACAAAAAAAAACTAATCTATAGCTGGAGTAGACGTGGCAGACTGTGGACATTATTAGCATGAAATATGGATGTTAAGGGTCAGCAACGTTTGTATTAGGTAATCTTGTAGAACTGAAGTTGAATTTGGCTAACCAAATATGCAGATGTTGGTTTCCTATTAACAAGACATCTATATTCAACTTGGCTTTAACAATATCATCAAAGAAAGTCATGTTGAAGATAGGAAAGCATGAAATCAGAAAAGATGCGTGAGTAGTCTGCCCTGTGTGTTGTGAATGGTAGAAGAGAATCAGAGATGGAGCATATGAGATATGGGTGTAGCTGTGTGGCTTGTAACATCAAAGAAATTAAGATTGGTACCTCATTTTCTTTTTTGCTGCTTATGAGTGGCCACAAGAACTGTCTGCAATGCATTGGATGTGGGTGGCCTGTTGTCTTCTTCTAAAGTCTGTACATGGCATGTTGGACTGGTGGCATTTCCAAGCAGATGTTGGTCTAATTACATGTTTAGAGAGAAAATCAAGTACTAGATATGGTTTCTACTACTTGAATGTATCAACTAGTTCACATAAGCACATTGATATCCTTCATGTTTCAAGTAGTACATGGCCAGAAAGGAATTTCTTAAGAAATAATTTCAGCACTCAAATGAATAAAGAAAAGAACATATTGCATGATGTCCAATAAAGCTAAAGTGCATAAAATGACAACTTGAAACAGAACAATGTCCGAAATCAACAAGAAGCACCCCAGATAACTAATCAAATATCAGAAAATTAAGATCTCATTGCCAAATAGATACTGAAACATGAACACACTATAAAGAAAGATACCAACAATTAAGATTAAAGAGATACATTTTTATCATATTCCCATAGGACAAGCGGTGGTCAAAAGCTAATCACTCCATTAAGCTTAACATTTTTTTCCATTTCTTCTCTCTTTTGGCTTCAAAAATAACATACAGAAGTTCACCTAAGGAAGTTCTGTTAAGGTTGTTTTCACTGTTTTCTAATAGTTTTTGAGATTTAGGCTTCATTTCCTGATGTGTCCCAATTATTATTAATATTCAATTCCAGAAATAAAGGAGAACGACAACAACAATGTGTCAACTGTAAAAGAAGAAGAAGAAGAAGAAGATGAAGAAAGAGAACGACATCAACAATTTGTCAACGAAGAAGAAGAAGAAGAAGAAGAAAAAGTGAAGAAGAAGAAGAAGAAAGAGAAAGAGATGCAATGTTTTGCAATAATTAAGTACACACCTTGATTAGTACTGCCAGTAGATGGACGATTGATTAGTTGAATTGCAGCTTGTTGTGCAGAGGAAGCTTCTCCGAGTGAACGACCACCGAATGCTAGCATATTAGGATCAATTCGTAAATCTGGGTTAATATGCTGAAGTTGTGCAACAACATTAAGTGTAATTTGTTGCCGCCAAGTTTCCTGTTGTTCCTCGAAGTTTTTCTGCATCCTTTGCTGCATTCTCTCTTCCATTTCCTTCAATTTTTGCTCCATTATCTCATCAGTAGTCTTTGAAGAGGGTCCAGAATTTCCAGATTTTTGTTTCAAGATAGTCTTTGTAACCCCACGACCATACAACCTTATGCGACCTGGGTGTTCAGGTCCCATGACTGTTGCAAATGGGTCAATTGATTGGTTATCATCTTCACTTTCTTGAGTTTGTATTTGCTCCATTTCAGCCTACAAATAAAATTTAAGAGAAGAAAATACAAGTAAATAAAACTGAGTTAACAATTAGGACCAAAAAGATAATCTCGACAAGCTTTAAAGTAGAAATCTTTGTACAATTGTGCGCATTGTATCTTCATATGATTCCTTCTATACTCGACCGGATTTTCTTGATCTCGTAGCCACAAACATGTCCTTACTTGATGGTTCCTCAGAAGTTTCCTTCTTTTTTTTCTAGTTACATAAAAGTCAGCATAAAATTTTTACCAAGTAAGGTTAAAAAGTTCATATTAATGAAAAATAAGAGAAAATACCGAACCTCGCGGATTGTGGCAAAACTTGTTTTGCCAGCAGTGTGTGGATTCTTTAACTTTTTTCGATTCTCAGTATTAGTTTTCGAAGTTTGCTGTAACAAGTAAGCTTTTATGTTAAACATCTAATATATTTCTGCCTTATGCATTTTGATAATCTAAAAAGTGTTGGACACGAAGACAAGACGAGGAATGAACTTCAAAAGAATTTACTCATTCTCTTTGTCAAAAATCAAGTTTACTGTGTCTATAACTTACCTGAGCTTTATCAGACTTCCAGTATTCAACAAGGTACTTAAACTCAGATTCTGAAACATATGAAGGCTTTTTTTCCATTTGAAGTTTGTCATTGGCATAGGCGTCATAGTAGTTTTTCTTCAACCAACACTTATACCTTCTCCAAGCATTTTGAATTGATTGAAAAACCCACTCTCTTCCATCATCATGAATGTCATATTTTGTCTACAGTTTGCTGTACTTGAGTTAGAGCAAAAATATGAAATATTATCAACTAACAATTGAAACAATAAAAACTTCAAACCTTGATATATGTCCACATATCCTCTTTTGTATTCAGTTTCTTCCAGTTATGTATATTCAGAGGAAAAAAGGTTGAATTTCATGCCAATGTACCGAGGAAACTTCCCAACTCTTTTATAATTTCGTCAATAGGACCAATGAGTTGGTTCAAATCACTTAGAACAACCAACTTGCGCTCACTCTGTCCATATACACTTGGCATCTGTGTCCTTCCTCTTTTTCGTTTTACAGTGGAAGAGCCTGCAATAGTTACGAACAAGAGATAATTACCAAATCACTAATGCTAATCGAATTTATGATTGAAATCTATATATTCTTGCCTTGTTTTTCTGATTGTTCAATTACTTCATGAGTGGCAGAATGTTGCGACATTTGCGGCACTTGTTCCAATACTACTTGTGCTGCAGAAGATGTAGAATGTTGCGACACTTGCTGCACTTGTTCCAATACTACTTGTGCTGCAGAAGATGTAGAACGTCGCGATACTTGCTACACTTGTTCCAGTACTGCTTGTGCAGCAAAAGCTGTAGAGTGTAGTGTCGCTTGATGCACTTGTTCTTGCCCTTTTGTTGCTACAGGAGAGCTAGAATCCAATGGTACTTGTTGTACTTGTTCTTGTACTTTTTGTGGTACATGAGAGGTAAGTGGAAATTGACGCACTGGCTTTTGCACTTGAGATCCTAACCTTGGATGCTTTGGTTGTCTATTTGAAAAATTAGGTGGAATAGCTCTTTTGGTTGTCAACAACGAAAACTTTTCTTTTGCCAACGATGAAAGTGATCCAGCTGGAAGATACTGTGAGTTTGTTTCTTTTTTGTTTTTCCTTGTAGTCACTTCTTCATTCATAGTCATCTCAAAACCGTCAAGTTAAGGAAAAAAAAAGATTAGCATAAGTATAAAAAAAAAAAAAAAACTGGCCAGAAAAAAGCACGAAACAAATTGCAAGAAACAAAATTAAGCACACAAAGAACTAGGTTAAAACTTAATATGAACTAATATCAAGTTTACGCTAGTTCAGAATTATCAAACAAGAAGGAAGATTAAAAACTTCTGAACTTTTGATCAAACAAAAAGGAAAACTGGACAAAAGAATTTGACAGAAAAACTGGACAAAAACTTCTAAACTTTTGATCTTCTGGACTGGTTGCACTTTTCTGGGCAACTGGTGCTAATCAGAAAAAAAATTCTAGCTTAACTGGTCAAGACTGCAGTTAAGTTTTTGCAATTGCTCTTTCGATGTTGCAGATTCAGATGCTCCTCTTTTTTATCTCAAAGCTGGCCAGAAGTTGTAGACTACAAAAGACAGTCAACAACAACAAAGAAATGCAGAAACTGGTGCAACAAATTGGTTCACATCTGTTAAAAAATATAACTCAAGCTGTGCGGCAACTGCAGGTTCAACTGTCCAACATTCTGCAGATCTTTTTAACTATGCAGGCCTTCAAATTTTTTCTCCAAAACTGCAGCTACTTGGGGACTAACTGGTGCAGATTTTGCTGTCACAATACTGCAGTTTTCAGCTAAATTTACTGCTCAAAACTATGCCTTCACAGTTGTAGATCTTCAATAACCAGCTGAATTCCAAAATTAAACTGCTCAAAAGAAACTGAAGCTGGAAACTAGTGCAACAATGTCAAGGTTGCAAAACTTCATTGAAAATGCAGCAATCTCACTCTCGGATGTTCAGAAAAAAAAACATAAGCTAAATTCAGTCTACGCTTACTCGACAATCTTCACTAGGTTTACAAGCTCGCAAAGAAATTTCAAAATTCAACATCAGACCAAAGCTGAACAACCTTTAAAAATAGAACTCAGCCAACTTCTCAACTGATTCTTCAAGTGCAGATATTGTTCTTAATATTGCAGATTTTCAGCTCAATTGTAACCCCAATATTATCCAAAACTGATGCAAAAACAGGTGTGAAACTAGTGCAAAAACTTGAAGTTGAACAGTCTAGATTAGTGGCTCAAATATAGCATAGTTTTGGCAGTTCATAGAGTGTAGAAGTAATGCAGATTCTATGTTGCAACATAAAACTCCGCAAAGTCACCAAAACAACTTCAGTTCAATAAAACAGTAGTGTACAACTAGTGCAAAATAAAATGCAGGCCAAATAGCAGCTTTTGCAGCAGTAATTCGGTGTTGGAACTATTCAAAATGCTGCCAGATCTTCAGCAGATAAAAGGGATGAAAGATGATATAAATTGGTGCAAAAACTGAACAAATCAACAACTACCAAATAGACCTTCAACTCACAAAATTGACATCTCCTTTATAGTTCAATGGTAGCAGCAAGCAATACAAGTTTTCAGTCCAAAATATTGATTTAAACCAAGTAGCAATGGACACTAAATTCAGCAGCGATACAAGAAAGCAGTTCAATATCTCCGAAGAGGATAATCTTCAAAACAAGTATAAGATAATAAACATGTGCCAAAGGAATTCAGGAAACAAAACCAAAACTTTTATCTTTTTTCTATTCTGAGTTTATGACTTAACAAATGAGATAATAACAATGCGTACCTTTTAATAGTTCCAAATCTGTTAACAGTGAAGTCGCAACTCTCCCCAATGATACACTAGCTTTCTTCAAATTGGTTTTTGAAAATCCTGTAAAATGGATCACAATTCAGAATTAAATTCTACAAAAAGCAAATAAAAACTAATTGCATAAAGTATAAACAAGAATAATCATAAAATATTTTGTAAAAGGGAATTTATCACTCACTCAGAAAATATTAAAACAACAATCAGTAATATATTTAAAAGTTCAGAATATCTTTGTTTTAGTCATCCGGCTCCATCCAATCCCAATCAGTATCATCAAATGCATTTTCATCTTCCTCTTCTTCTGATGTTTCTATATTTGTATCTTGTGAACATTGTGCATATGATGGAATATCTACGACATCAACAGGTACATCTTCTCTTGACCATCTAACATCAACATCAAGTAATCCACTTGAGGAACCAATATCATCGTTAGGTTCCCTCCAAAATGTGTCTTCTATGTTGGGACAATTCCCTTCCTCTAGATCATACAAATCAATAGGGACCTTTTTCCTTGCATAATAAACATCTTCCTCAATTGGATCTGCCACATAAAAAACTTGATAAACTTGAGATGCCAATACAAAAGAATCATCTGTACTGCATAATTTATTGAAGTACACCCGAGTTAACCCATAGTCATCTATTTCAGTATGATACCAATCACACCTAAATAGTACAACACTAAAACAACCCCGATAATCAATTTCAATGATATCTTGAATAGCTCCATAATAGATAACCTCTCTATCGATAGGATTTTGGTCCCTAGTACTAGCAAAACTATCAGTTGTTGCCAATAAAGTCACTCCACTATTTTGAGTCTTTCCTGAAGAATCCCGTCCTATGGTATGAAATCGGTATCCATTAATGAAGTATGCAGTATATCTTTTGGCAGCAACATTAGGCCCTTTAGCTAGCCACCGTAAATAATCGGGCACTTCAATATTTTTAACTTTTTCTTTGAACCAGTTGCTGAATTCCCGACTATGATTCCTTGCTCTTACCCATGCATTTGATCTAGTATGATTACCCATTAAATTTTTATGTTCCCTGCAATAATGAATATTTTAAATTCAATTATTAGGCCTTCATAAATGGAGCTAAAAGTATCTTATCATAAGAAAATAAATAAAGTCTAAAATATAAATAAATATTATATAATTTATCTTACTTGATAAAAATTTTCACTAGTTCATCTCCAGTATTGAACAGAGCATATCGATGTGCTTCATAAGATAACTGTGAATCCATGAGAAAAGTCTTGCCTTTTTTTTTTCTTCTTACCTCCAATTGGATGACCAATCTTAGGGAATATAGGTGATAAATTTTGAGGGCATTCATCATCCTCAGTTTGGTACCTACTGAATCTAGTTTTCACGCCATCATGTAGGTATCTCGAACAAAAAGTCAAGCACTCTTCGGCTAAAAAACCCTCTGCTATTGACGCTTCTGGACAAGATCGATTACGAACAAATGCCTTCAACTTACATAGGTTCCTCTCAATAGAATACATCCAACGAAGATGTGTCGGACCCCCAAGCTTAATTTCATTCACTAGATGAATAGGCAAATGTGGCATTATATCAAAAAATGTTGGAAGAAAAATCCTTTCAAGTTCACAAGTAATTTCAGCAATTTCAGATTACATTTTTTCAAGATCCCTTCTCATTACAACCTTACTACATATAGCTCTAAAGAAATCGCCCAACCTAATCAAGGTCAACGAAACATTCGTAAGCAATGATTTTCTAACTGCAACCTGGAGTAAGTAATGCATTATAAAATGAGCATCATGACTTTTGTACCCTGATATTTTCATCTCCTTCGCATGCACACGGTCTGATATATTCGAAGCACACCCTTTTGGCAATTTGGCATTTTTTATAACGGTGCAAAACAAGCTTTTCTCTTCTGGACTCATGGAGAAACAAGCTTGAGCCAAACTTACTGTTCCATTATCATCTTCTCTTGGTTGTAGCTCCTTTCGTATCCCCATTTCTTGCAAGTCATAGCGAGAATTTACATGATCCTTTGACTTTCCATCCATTTCTAAGAAAGTCCCAATCAAACTATCACATATGTTTTTCTCAATGTGCATCACATCAAGATTGTTCCTCAATTTGTTATGCGCCCAATATGGCAATTCAAAAAAATAGATCTCTTTTTCCACGGACTCTTGTTGTTACGAAGCCTTTTCTTTTTTCCCTTTCCAAAAATATTATTGAATTCAAGAAATTCTTCAAATACTTCTACACCCGATAAAGAAGTAGGTGCAGGTCTATGCTCCTCCTTACCATCAAATGACCTCTTATCTTTTCGGAATGGATGATCAGGAGGAAAAAATCTTCGATGGCCCAAGTAACACATCTTATGACTATGTTTGAGATATTGAGAGCATGTGTCATAATTACAAATGGGGCATGCCAATCTACCCTTTGTGCTCTATTCTGAAAGCATTGCTAATGCTGGAAAAGCACTAATTGTCCACAATAAAGCTGCGCGCATTTGAAA